ATGCTTGCCATAGATGCAGGCGAAACGTCAGGAGAGAATGCCTCTAGACCATGGCCATATAGCCCGAAAACAACCCAGTGATTTCCGGCCATGAAAGCCTTCGACAATATATAAATATGTACCTTGAAAGCAAGACCAATGCTGGCTGGCCCTGCGGTGAATAATAATAATGATGATAATAATAATAATAACAACAACAACTATTATTATTATTATTATTATTATTATTATTATTATTATTATTTCTTTCCCTCCTCTCCTTATGACTCGAGGCGGGTTACAACATGGCTAAAACACATCATCTAAACATATATAATCATTTCAAAACACTCCGTAGAGTAGACATATGAAAACCTATTTCCATAAAATGCCCAAAACGAAAGCGGGAAGTGCTGGGACTCTCCTTCTCTGCCCTTTCTAGGCATCGGGGGCTCAACAGGGATCTCTGCAAAACAGCCTGCAAGTCCACTCGACCGCTCTGGACAGCTTCAGCGACATGAACAGCTCCTTGACCTCGGCCTCCATTGAGTTGCAGGTGAGTGGCTGATAGCGTGGTGGCTCTGGAGACTTGATTGCGTTGGCAAACATCCTTTGCGCCGCTTGTTTAAAGCAGGGCTTGGACATCGTCCCAATAAAGGAAAGCTTGGGAGCTGGGAGAGGGAAAAGGAGGACGGTGGCCTTGGAAGGAAATGGTCTTCACACTAAGCCAGGCATGGGCCAATTTTGGCCTTCCCTCCACGTGTTTCGGACTCCAACTCACACCATTCCTGGCAGCCACTAGGCAGTTAGAAATTGTGGGAGTTGGAGTCCAAAACACATGGAGGGAGTGCCAAAGTTGACCCATGCCTGCATTAAGCATTTGCTTAAGCATTTAAAGATGGGCTCAAAGCCAACCTCAAAAACTCAGGCATAGACACTGAGAACTGGGAAGCCCTGGCCCGTGAGCGCTCCAACTGGAGGTCAGCTATGACCAGCAGTGCTGCAGAATTCGAGGAGGCACGAGTGGAGGGTGAAAGAGAGAAACGTGCCAGGAGGAAGGCGCATCAAGCCAACCCCAACCGGGACCGCCTCCCACCTGGAAACCAATGCCTTCACTGTGGGAGAAGATGTGGGTCCACAGCCACCTACGAATCCACAAGGAAACCCATCATGGAAGACCACCTTACTCTTCCAACGAGGGATCGCCTAAGGAAGGAAGGAAGCATTTGCTGAAATGTATTGTCGAAGGCTTTCATGGCCAGAATCACTGGGTTGTTGTAGTTTTTTCCGGGCTAAATGGCCATGTTCTAGAGGCATTCTCTCCTGACATTTCGCCTGCATCTATGGCAAGTATTCTCAGAGGTAGTGAGGTCTGTTGGAACTAGGAAAGTGGGTTTATATATCTGTGGAACGACCAGGGTGGGACAAAGGACTCTTGTCTGATGGAGCTCAGTGGGAATGTTTCAACTGACCACCTGGCAGTGCCTGGGGCAATCTTTTGTTGAGAGGTGATTAGATGCTGGACCACTCTCACAACCACCACTGTTTACGTAAAACAGAAGAAGGTTGAATTTGAAATGTCGAAGGCTTTCATGGCCAGAATCACTGGGTTCTTGTAGGTTTTTCCGGGCTATATGGCCATGGTCTAGAGGCATTCTCTCCTGACGTTTCGCCTGCATCTGTGGCAAGCCTCCTCAGAGGTAGTGAGGTCAGTTGGAAATAGGAAAAAGGGTTTATATATCTGTGGAATGACCAGGGTGGGACAAAGGATGCTTGTCTGCTGGAACTAAAGGTAAATGTTTCAACTGACCACCTTGATTAGCATTTGTAGCCCCCGGTGGCGCAGTGGGTTAAACCCCTGTGCCGGCAGGACTGAAGACTGACAGGTTGCAGGTTCGAATTCAGGGAGAGGCGGATGAGCTCCCTCTATCAGCTCCAGCTCCTCATGTGGGGACATGAGAGAAGACTCCCACAAGGATGATAAAACATCAAAATCATCCAGGCATCCCCTGGGCAACGTCCTTGCAGACGGCCAATTCTCTCACACCAGGAGCGACTTGCAATCACTCCTGACATGACAAAAAAAAAAAGCATCTTTTGTTGAGAGGTGATTAGCAGTCCCTGATTGGATTGTTGTATGTTTTTTTGGGCTATATGACCATGTTCTAGAGGCATTTTCTCCTGGTGTTTCACCTGCATCTGTGGCAAACATCCTCAGAGATAGTGAGGTGTCTTGGAACTAGGAAAAATGGGTTTATATATCTGTGGAATGACCAGGGTGGGACAAAGGACTCTTGTCTGCTGGAGCTAGGTGGGAATGTTTCAACTGACCACCTTGATTAGCGTATAATGGCCTGACCGTGCCTGGGGGAATCTTTTGTTGAGAGGTGATTAGATGTGCCTGATTGTTTACTCTCTGTTGTTTTGCTGTTGTAATTTTAGAGTTTGGACAATTTCAAATTTCAACAGAAAGGAGGAAACCATGAAAATGAACAAAATCTGGCTACCAGTATTGAAAACCTCTAAAATTACAACAGACATGCACCAGAATGCCCTTTTCTGTCTCGCATCTCATAGAATCCCAGAATCCTAGAGTGGGAAGAGACCTCCTGGGCCATCATCCAGTCCAACCCCATTCTGCCAAGAAGCAGGAATATTGCATTCAAATCACCCCTGACAGATGGCCATCAGCCTCTGCTTAATAATAATAATAATAATAATAATAATAATAATAATAATAATAATAGAATCCTAGAGTGGGAAGAGACCTCCTGGGCCATCATCCAGTCCACCCCCATTCTGCCAAGAAGCAGGAATATTGCATTCAAAGCACCCCTGACAGATGGCCATCCAGCCTCTGCTTAATAACAACAACAACAACAACAACAACAACAACAACAACAATAATAATAATAATAATCCTAGAGTTGGAAGAGACCTCCTGGGCCATCATCCAGTCCACCCCCATTCTGCCAAGAAGCAGGAATATTGCATTCAAATCACCCCTGACAGATGGCCATCCAGCCTCTGCTTAATAATAACAACAACAACAACAACAACAACAACAACAACAACAATAATAATAATAATAATAATCCTAGAGTTGGAAGAGACCTCCTGGGCCATCATCCAGTCCACCCCCATTCTGCCAAGAAGCAGGAATATTGCATTCAAAGCACCCCTGACAGATGGCCATCCAGCCTCTGCTTAATAACAACAACAACAACAACAACAACAACAACAACAACAATAATAATAGAGTTGGAAGAGACCTCCTGGGCCATCATCCAGTCCAACCCCATTCTGCCAAGAAGCAGGAATATTGCATTCAAAGCACCCCTGACAGATGGCCATCCAGCCTGTTAATAATAATAAAAACAATAATAATAATAATAATAATAATAATAATAATAATAATAATAATGGAAGAGACCTCCTGGGCCATCATCCAGTCCACCCCCATTCTGCCAAGAAGCAGGAATATTGCATTCAAATCACCCCCGGCAGATGGCCATCCAGCCTCTGCTTAATAATAATAATAATAATAATAATAATACGTAATAATAATAGAATCATAGAATCCTAGAGTTGGAAGAGACCTCCTGGGCCATCATCCAGTCCAACCCCTTCTGCCAAGAAGCAGGAATATTGCATTCAAAGCACCCCTGACAGATGGCCATCCAGCCTCTGTTAAAAAGCTTCCAAAGAAGGAGCCTCCACCACACTCAAAGAATCATAGAATCAAAGAGTTGGAAGAGACCTCATGGGCCATCATCCAGTCCACCCCCATTCTGCCAAGAAGCAGGAATATTGCATTCAAATCACTCCTGAAGATGGCCATCCAGCTTCTGTTTAAAAGCTTCCAAAGAAGGAGCCTCCACCACACTCCCTCTGGGGCAGAGAGTTCCACTGCTGAACGGCTCTCACAGTTAGGAAGTTCTTCCTCATGTTCAGATGGAATCTCCTCTCTGTTTCCATTGTCTTCTTTGTTGTGTGTTAGGAGTGGAAGAGAGCCTTGTCCTTTATGGACCATACTGGGAAATAGCTAGAAACGGTGCTGGGTGAATCGCAGTCTGTTTCCTACCTCTTCAGGTTTTGGGGTCAGCCATGAACTCATTTTGCCTTTCACTCCCTGTGTTCTAGAGGACCTTGGTCGATGTCACTTTGGAGAACACGCTCATCCGCGACCAGATCAAAAGCCTGAAGCAAACCCATGAGCAGTCCATGGAAAGGCTGAAGGAAAAGCAGAAGCAGCTGGAGAAGGCCAGAGTCGAAAACGAGGTGCTCAAACTCAAGGTGAGCGGTATTTATTTGTCGTGTCAGGGCAGCCAGTCAATTGTATTACATTTCTAACAGAACAAAACAAACACACAAACACACAAAACACAAAGTTTGCAAGTTTGGTAGTTGATTAAATGTCCTTTGACCAGTCTCTGTCCCCTTGGAGTGCCTCTGGTGTTGCCACAAGGAGGTCCTCCCTTGTGCATCATGTGGCAGGGCTCAGGTGGCATTGCAGCAGGTGGTCAGTGGTTTGCTCTTCTCCGCACTCGTATGTCGTGGACTCCACTTTGTGGCCCCATTTCTGAAGGTTGGCTCTGCATCTCGTGGGGCCAGAGCGCAGTCTGTTCAGCGCCTTCCAAGTCACCCAGTCCTCTGTGTGCCCAAGAGGGAGTCTCTCGTTTGGTATTCTGGGTTTGAGCCTGCTACTTTTGGACTCTCGCTTGCTGAGGTGTTCCAGCGAGTGTCTTTGTAGATCTTAGAACACTATTTCTTGATTCAAGTCATTGACATGCTGGCTGATACCCAAACAGGGGATGAGCTGGAGATGTCTCTGCCTTGGTCCTTTCACTATTGGCTGTTACCCCCTGCCACTTTTGGACTCTCACTTGCTGAGGTGTTCCAGTGAGTGTCTCTGTAGATCTTAGAAAACTATTTCTTGATGTAAGTCGTTGACGTGCTGGCTGATACCCAAACAAGGGATGAGCTGGAGATGTCTCTGCCTTGGTCCTTTCACTCTTGGCTGCTCTTTCCCGGCGGATGTCAGGTGGTGCAATACCGGCTAAGCAGTGTAATTTCTCTAGTGGTGTAGGGCGCAGACACCCCGTGATAATGCAGCATGTCTCACTAAGAGCCACATCCACTGTTTTAGCGTGGTGAGATGTGTTCCACACTGGGCATGCGTACACAACAGAGTAGCATAGCGCAAGGGCAGATGTCTTCACTGTGTCTGGTTGTGATCCCCAAGTTGTGCCAGTCAGCTTTCGTATGATATTGTTTCTAGCGCCCACTTTTTGCTTGATATTCAGGCAGTGCTTCTTGTAGGTGAGAGCACAGTCCAGAGTGACTCCCAGGTATTTGGGTGTGCTGCAATGCTCCAGTGGGATTCCTTCCTAAGTCATAATCCTCAGAGCTCGGGATGCATGTCTGTTCTTGAGATGAAAAGCACATATCTGTGTTTTAGATGGGTTGGGGATCAGCCAGTTTTCCCTGTAATAGGCAGTAAGAGCACCTAGAGCTTCGGAGAGCTTCTGTTCTACCATCTCAAAGCTCCCTGCTTGAGCGGTGATGGCACGATCATCAGCGTAGATGAAGCTCTCTGTTCCTTCTGGCCGTGGCTGGTCATGTGTGTAGATGTTGACCATGGATGGAGCAAGCACGCTCCCCTGAGGCAGGCCGTTCTTCTGTTTCCGCCATCTGCTTCTCTGGCCCTGGAACTCAACAAAGAAGCTCCTGTTTTGTAGCAGGTTTCCTATGAGGCGGGTGAGGTGGTCGTCCTTGGTGATACTATACATTTTTCTCAGGAGGAGGCGGCGGTGGTATACGGTATTATAAGCTGCTGACAGGTCTATGAAGGGTGACCAAAGAGGAGTAGCCGGGGAAGAGGAAACCGCAGCAGCCGCTCTCCTTGAAAAGGAAGGGATCTGCGACCCTTTGCGAAATGCTTCTTGGTTGCGACAGCGCCCGTGTCAATCCCTGCGGAATGTGGAGCCATGATGCCTTTGTTGACACAGAGGCCAGGATAGGTTTCATGAGGCAACAAGAGCCAGCTTTTTGTGCCTGTTTCCTCATGCTTTGTTTTTGTTGTCCTGTCAACGGAACTTTGTCAGAGAGGACGAAGCAAAGTATTTGGAAGCTTTGAGTCGCCCTTGTTTGCTTTAAACAATTGCTAATTTCCTCCCGGCCGCTGAGTTTACAAAACAAGCTGTTTTGCAAGTGAAGGGTGTGCATGGAGAATTTCCTACACTGCAGTAACACTATGTAACACAATTTTTGTTACTGGGTTACAATTGTCATTTCCTAATTGTCTTTATCATTTAAAAAAAATGGAAAAATTTTACCAACTGGCAAAAAACATTTTTTTCAGGAGCGACATCATCTTGCCATAACACATTTGGCTCGAGGTTTCCAATGAATATTTCATCATAGAATCCTATAGTGGGAAGAGACCTCCTGGGCCATCCTCCAGTCCAACCCCATTCTGCCAAGAAGCAGGAATATTGCATTCAAAGCACCCCTGACAAATGGCCATTCAGCCTAGAATCATAGAATCCTAGAATCCTAGAGTGGGAAGAGACCTCCTGGGCCATCCTCCAGTCCAACCCCATTCTGCCAAGAAGCAGGAATATTGCATTCAAAGCATTCCTGACAGATGGCCATTCAGCCTAGAATCATAGAATCCTAGAATCCTAGAGTGGGAAGAGACCTCCTGGGCCATCCTCCAGTCCAACCCCATTCTGCCAAGAAGCAGGAATATTGCATTCAAAGCACCCCTGACAGATGGCCATCCAGCCCTCCTATCATAGAATCCTAGAATCCTAGAGTGGGAAGAGACCTCCTGGGCCATCCAGTCCAACCCCATTCTGCCAAGAAGCAGGAATATTGCATTCAAATCACCCCTGACAGATGGCCATCCAGCCTCTGTTTAAAAGCTTCCAAAGAAGGAGCCTCCACCACACTCCGGGGCAGAGAGTTCCACTGCTGAACAGTTCTCACAGTCAGGAAGTTCTTCTAGAATCCTAGAGTTGGAAGAGTCCTCCTGGGCCATCATCCAGTCCAACCCCATTCTGCCAAGAAGCAGGAAAATTGCATTCAAATCACCCCTCAATTAATGTAATTTTATTGGTATTGTTCTGGAATGGCTGTTCCAGGGGCTCCAATTTTGTGTTTTGCACTGAGTGTTTGTTCATAGTCCTAAATTGCAGGGACTTTGCAGATAGGTGGCTTCCTTTGGCTGCATTCATAGGGCAAGCCATCTGTCAATAATAGTTAGGATCCCTGGTCCCGCCCCTCTCTGGGGGGTTTTTGGGCGGGAAGGGGCCATTTTTCAGTTAGTCTCAGCAAAGGAAGTCAATGCAGAGGATGTGTACACACGTCCTCCTGTGCAAAGGCTTCGTCCCTTAAGACTTCCCGGGGGAGAACAGTCTTAAGAGCCTTTAAAGATTCCCAAAGGCTGTTCCGGGGGAACTGCCTTACAGCCCTGAGGAATTCCGGAGGGAATAGCAGCTCTAACCATCAAGATCTCCAGCCAAGTGACTACAGGCCTGCTGGTACGTCGGCTCGGTTCTGAGACGCAGTTCAGCCGGTAGTGGATTCAAATCAGCCAGGTTTAGGTTCACAGTATCCTGGGAGGAGCTAGAAAGGGGAATTTTCCTTTGAACAAAGTTATTGAAGATAGTGCCTGTTCCCTGTGGACAAGTTTGAGAGAACTGGTTTCTTTACCAAGAAAGCTTTACAATTCCTGTTTGCTCATCAATAAAAGACTGTTATTTAAGCTCAAGCCTCCTAAAGACTGTTTAATGAGGGACGTTTTCCTAAAGGCTCCTTTTCAGGCCCTCTGGCTTCCCGCTGGATTCAAGCCACACGTCCTCTCTTAAAAGCACTTAATTTCGGGTCCAGCGGCAACAGAAGAGGTATCTATTTTTATTTTGAAATTTACCCATAATGGATGCATTTCCCACCCTCGGTTTATACTCGAGTCAATACGTATTCCCAGTTTTTTGTGATAAAATTAGGTGCCTCGGCTTATATTCGAGTCGGCTTATACTCGAGTATATACGGTATATTTGGATCGGCTTATACTTGAGTATATACGGTAAATAAAAATGTCATGTTCGTTTGTGGGATGAACAGAACTCAAAAACCACTGGACGAATTGACACCAAATTTGGACACAAGACACCTAACAACCCAATGTATGTCCTTCACTCAAACGTTGATTTTGTCATTTGGGAGTTGTAGTTGCTGGGATTTATAGTTCATCTACAATCACATAGCATTCTGAACCCCACCAAGGATGGAACTGAACCAAACTTGGCACACAGTTCTCCCATGACCAACATAAAGTACTGGAAGGGTTTGGTGGGCAGTGTCCTTTGGTTTTGGAGTTGTAGTTCACCTACATGAAAAGATGACTGTGGACTCAAACGATGGGTCTGGACCAAACTCTATACAAATACTCAATATGCCCAAATGTGAACACTGGTGGAGTTTGGGGAAAATAGAATCTTGGCATTTGGGCGTTGTAGTTGCTGGGATTTATAGTTCACCTACAATCACAGAGCAGGCTGAACCCCACCAACGATAGAATTGGGCCAAACATCCCACACAGAACCCCCATCTGGGCCACAGCAACGCGTGGCAGAGGACGGCTAGTATGGTAAATAAAAATGTAATGTTCGTTTGTGGGATTAACATAACTGAAAAACCATTGGGTGAATTGACACCAAATTTGGATACAATACAACTATGAGGCCACTCATAAAAATACTAAAAAAAACACAGCAGAAGAGACTTAAAAGGCCAAAAAATAATAATAAAATAAAATAAAAATGCATGCACAAAACCATATATATGCACATATACACAAAAATATAAGCAGAGATATACACATACAAAACACATATACACAGACTGGGCCACAGCAAGGCGTGGCAGGGGATGGCTTGTTTTAAAATTTAATAAATATTAAAGCAGAATGAAATATAATTAGTATTGAAATAGTACAGAATGGGGGACGATGAGGCCTGGCTCAAGAGCAGGACGTGTGAAAAAGATCTTGGAGTCCTCGTGGGGAGGAAGGGGAACATGAGCCAGGAATGTGATGTGGCGGCAAAAAAAGCCAATGGGATGTTGGCCTCAGGCATCAAGAGGAGCCTAGTGTCTAGATCCAGGGAAGTCATGCTCCCCATGCTCTATTCCGCTTTGGTTAACCACTTTACCTGGAATATTGTGTCCAATTCTGGGCACCACAATTCAAGAGAGATATTGACAAGCTGGAATGTGTCCAGAGGAGGGCG